GGGAAGTTGTTCTATAATAAAGTCGTAGACCAGGCCTTTTGCTTTTTTCTCACCAATGTTATATTTGGTCATAAAATATCTAACCAAATCTTTGAATTCTTTAGCATACAAACACCAACATAATATTTCTTCCTGATTGGCTTTCATTGCACTTTCTTCAGCGTTGCATGCATTTTGATATAAGTTAATGATATTTTTAGCCCTATAAGGCCTGCTTTCGCAGTTATCTGAAGTCTCACGAAGTGAGGATGCTTCTGCATTTGTGATACATGCGCTTTTTTGATCTGAAGATAAATTTTCATTTATATGATTTTGATTTTTTTCGAGTGATATTTCCTGTATTAAAGCTTCTCCCTTCTTCTGTCTACACGAATCCTGGTCGTTAATTGTTTCAGTATTGCATAATATATCCGATGAAATATTATGGTTAACTGGAGATAAGTCCTGGAATTGGTTTTTATCCGATTCACGTAGAAGTTTCCTTTCCTTATTACGTTGTCTTATCTCATTACAAACCTTTGCCTTGTTTTTCTCATCTAAGAAATTGTTCATCTCTTTATCCTCTAACGATTTGGGGTTAATATCAATGCACTGATCTATAACAGGGTTGGGTACATTAACAATGTTCTCAGAAGAATTATCACCGTCTTCTAGCTGATGATCAAAATTCTGTTCTAATTTCGCAACTCTAGCTTTAAGTTCAGCATTTTCAGCGGTAGTATCTATCCTATTTTTCTCTAACTCCTCAATTCTGGTTTTGAGCTCAGTATTCTCTTTTATGAACCACCTTAGCTTCGCGTTCTCAGCTTTAACTTCGATATTCTCAGCCTCAACCCCAGCATACTTCTTTTTAAGTTCAGTAATCTCTACAATAAGCTTGGAATTCTGTTCTTCTAACGAATTAATTTTGGATTGTATATTTGCCATTGTTTCATATAAGATATTATTTATTTAAATTTTCAAGTTTAAACAAAAATCAAATTGTCAAGAAATTTCGCAGACCTCGGGTCGTTCAAATTTCACAGACCTCAGGTCGTTCAAGTTTACCAAAAAAATTCTCGATCATATGTGAGTTATACATCGGTATCAATACAATAAATAAATCCACGAAATACACATGCAAAAGTAAACTGATTATGTATGCAATGAAATCGGCCATGGGCCGGTTTTATTATATAAAAAAATAAAAATAAAATACAAGATATTGCTATATTCTAGAAATATGCGCTTTTTTGCTTTTTTGATCTTCTAGTTTTACTATTATCTTTAGATCTTTTCTGCCCCTGCTCATCTCTACGCGGTGATGAAACAGTAGGGCTTGGATTAACATTTCTGGGTGGATGCGTAATAGCCTGTTCTAGTGCCTGCACTAACAAGCTTTTGTTTACGATCATAATATTTCTTAAGGTTAGTAATAAGCGAACTAGAGATCTAGTATGCAATTTGTGGGGTGTTAATGGGATTTCAGAATGGTCTAGATGGAAATATCTTGGTATCCCAGCAAAATCCTTTACAAGAACGTTTAGATACATAGTTGTACCAGCAATCTGGATTCCCACAATTCCAAATTGATTACCGGCTGGTCTACACATTGCACTGATATAACTCACCCCATCCAATGTTTCTCTCCATAACTTAACATCATCATCCGCTTTTTTTGAACTATTGCATACGATGCGAGATGATTCGGTATACAATAGTTCAATAATTTTTTCATCTTGCTTCATCAACCCCATAACGTCAGGCTTCTTGCCCATTCGCTCTCCATTTATTCCTAGATTCCGCCGAGCTTTGCTTGCTATACTTTGACGTTCCGCCGTGCTCAAACAGATACCACCATTCGGAAGGTCGTTTAAACTTGCTCGGAGCAAAGGAATTATGACATCTGCAACATATGTCCCTTCACTCTGCTCACTACGGGATGTACTAGTCATAAATGCGGGATTATTCCATATTTCATCACTGACAAAGGTATATTAGAATTATTAGAATTACCATTTCTTTGATTTTTTCGAACGAAGATAATATTAAGTGAATTACTTACAGCGTGTCCAGAATACGTTTTGTTATTTTCACTAACTTGTTCTCATTCTCTTTCCATTTTTTATCATGAAAAATATTCATCATAATCATTGAAATATTTGAATTATTGAAATTTTCTGCAAACCTATCACAGTTAGCCACAACCGAATCAGGGAGAACACATTTCATATTTTCTCGCGGTTTTATAAAGATCTTTTTCTGTCTATCCCCCAAGTTATTCACAACTTCTGAGTCATCACTTAGAACCATGCTTGCTTCTGGATCTTGCCATGTAAGATCCGAAGGGTCCACACTTGCTAAAGCTTGTTTAAGCGAACCATAAAGATTTATATCCGCTTCCGTTGTTGGATGCTAGGCATATAATCTTATTTGTTAGTTCTCAATCAAAAAATATTTCAACAGTCTAATATTTACCTCGAGTTTAGATCTCAACATGTTAAGATTTTCTTCTATTTGTTCCCGACCGTGATCTGATGTAAATTCTCTATCCATATTTAATACCTTTAATGCTTTCAGACCTTTAACGCTAATATATCCGCTTTCCATCTATAGTAGTTACAGTATAAAGTACCGGTACGTTAACCTTATCCCAAATTTTGCAAACTAATGCCATACTCGCACATGTGCGTTTTCAGATATATTTAGAGTATCATTGTTTTGGTTGGATAGTCACGCACAGTCAGAGAGGAGCAGAAACCCTCAACATCCGAAGATATTGATCTTCTGGGCCGGCATTCTCCGACTTTCAGCTATGACATACCAAAACTAAAGCCCACATCTACTATAGAATCATCATTAAATTTAACAATAAAAATCTCAATTTATACTAACCTGTGGTAAAATTTCTAACACCTTTGCTCTTCGTCTAAGATCTTCAATTTTCGATAAAGACGAATTAACTGCCTGGTCAACTATTTCTCTTATACTGTCATATGGAAGTAGAGCGTTATCCTCTATTGTTAAATAAACAACAGACGCACCACAAAGAGTGTCTAATGATTCTTCGTTTAATAAAAGTGCTTCAATCTTAGATACTAAATGTGCCATGTTGATAGATGTTAAGTTGAATATAAAAATGTAAGAAATAATCACTATAGAGCGACAAGTAACAATAAATTTAAGATACTGTCCTTTTATATGTTTTTCTTTCACCTCTTCTCTGAAACTCGAAAGTTAAAAAGGTTGGACAGAAGCAAAGACATATGCTCTTACATAGAAAAATTTCTACGATAGAAGTTGTAAATGTATGCATCACGAGTTATAGAGCCATGTAAGGTTAAAATCGTTATTAAGGGACTTGATACTTCGTAGTACGTGCATACATTATGTGAATTTAGTAGATGCATTTAGGCCAGATAAGGTTTCAGTCCGGAGTGAATTCTCCTCAAAGATGTGGCATGAGTTAATTGACCGACTTTGGTTAGGGTAATATTCCTGAAAAATAAAAAAATGGCGATTTCTACTTGTGCCCCGTCTCACAAATAAGTTATGCATAACGAAGGTGATACAGATATATTTATACGTATGCGAAATTTATTCTAACACGTTATCACATTCACATCGCTTATATATTCCCTCTGCTACTTTTTTG